ATGGATAACTAGGCAGTCTTTCTACAGAGAATTTTATTAATAAAATTAATAAAACAAAGGAATAGGAACCTTCTAACCAGCTCAAGGGAAAGCTTACAAGAGCACAGGTGCATTTCATGGACTGCAAGGTAGAAAGGGCATATAGATCTCTAGAACAACAGGAAAAGGAAAGCAGAAGACAAAGATCCTCTCTCTCTCTCTCTCTCTCTCTCTCTCTCTCTCTCTCTCTCCCCATCCCATCCCTGTCTCATTTCCTTGGCCTCTTATCTCTGTATCTCTATTTTTTATAAATAACTACCAATTGGATTTTTATATTCTCATTAAAGAAGATGACTGTGAGCTGGGTATGGTGGTGTCCAGTACTTGGGAGGCAGATGTAGCACTTGGGAGGCAGAAGCAGGCAGATCTCTAGGAGATGGAGGGCAGCCTGGTCTACATGGTGAGTTCTACACCAGCTGGGGTTATTGTGAGACCCTGTCTCATAAAAACCAAAGAAGAAGGAAGAGGAGGAGCAAGAGGGGGAGGAGAGGAGGAAAAGAAGGAGGAAGAAGGGGAGGGTAAAGGAGAGGAGGACACAGAACATTACCAAGTAAACACAAATCTCTATTCGACATAATCAGGGGAAACTCTAGAATCTGTCAGGAGCACAAATCCCTGGAAGGAAGACTATGATTCAGCTTTGGCGGGTTGTCTAGCTGTGTGGCCACAAGACAGGGTTATGTGATTCAGTGATTTCTAGAGGCAAGAAACAGACTCTGAGAAAGCCCTGTGGGCAGAGTCAGCATATTACTTAGCAAGTGTGCCACACATCCCAAAACAAATGACAGTTGACCCTGCAGAGCAAGAGTAGAAATGTGAACATAGTTTGCAGGTAAATGGATAGGGCAGGGATGTGGGGAATATGGAATTATGTTGTTGTTATTATTGTTTTTACCTTACTAGTATTTCTTTTAGTTTTAGACATCATGGACTCAGCCTACTGTCTGCAGACAGGAGGGTGAGCCGGGCACAGTGAAGTCTAGGCTTCCTTCACTCATGTCTTTTAGTTTTAGACATCATGGACTCAGCCTACTGTCTGCAGACAGGAGGGTGAGCCGGGTACAGTGAAGTCTAGGCTTCCTTCACTCATGTCTTCGATTCATTCAGTAACATTTGGTTACTTCATTTCAAATTTTCCAGAACTTACATAAGGACTTCAATTTCACTACCATTTTCAAATCTAAGGAAAAGAATATGAAGCTGTAAGGAAATTAATTTCAATGTAGTAATCAAATATTAGGAACTTATTATTTTCCATGTATAAACCAACTCTTGTGATATAAACAGCAAAATTTCAGAGATGCAGAATTTACTCAAGAATGTGAATATATACATAACTAAATTTATCACACCATACTACATACATATTAATGACAGAAAGAAGATAATTTGGGTTGGTGAGATCGTTCTACAGGTGAAGGCACTTGCTGTGAAAGCCTGGTGACCTGCATTTAATCCTCAGAACCCACATAAAGGTGGAGGGAAGAAGCAACTGCACAAAATTGTCCTCTGACCTCCACATATGCAGTCAACAACAGCACTGCATCCTGAGGCAGATAGGAGAATCAATACATCTATTTTAAAGCTAGATATTAGAATGACTTACAAAAATGTAGAATAATGTCACTCACATGGGTTGTTTCATAGTGAAAAAATAGTGATTTTTTATGAAGTATTTGACATTCATATTGATATCTGACAGTTACTGTTACTAAAATTTAATATATAATAATGCTGGACAGATGACTCAGTGGTTAATAGCACTGGCGACTCTTGCAGAGGACCTGAGTTTGGTTCCCAGCACCCACATGGCAGCTAACAACCATCTGTAACTCTAATTCCAAGGGATCCAATGCCTTCTTATGATCTCTGTGGGCATTGCTCAACATACACTTACATGCACTTACATGCGTGCAGACAATACACTTACACACATAAAATAAAAATAATAAATAAAATATTTTTAATTAATATATAAGTACCTGAAACTTGTGTTTTAATATTTTATATGGTGTGATGATTTAAATGAGAAATGTCCTCCATAGGCTCAAATGTTTTAATATTCAGTCCCCAATTGGTGGTGCTGTTTGGGAGGTAATGGAATCTTTATGATGGAGGAAGTATGTCACTGGGGTCAGGCTTTGAGAGTTCATAGCTTTGTCCCACTTCCAGTTGCTCTCTCTGTTTCATGTTTCCGGTTGAAGATTGAACTCTCAGTGTTCTGCTCCTGTTGCCATGCTTGCCGCTTACTGCCGTGTCTCCCTCCATAATGGACTTTTATCGCTTTGGAATAGTAAGCCAAAATAAACTCTTTTTTCCATAAGTTCCATAGAATACCATAACCAACCACAGTATCTTATAACCATCTGTAACTCTAATTCCAAGGGATCCAATGCCTTCTTATGATCTCTGTGGGCATTGCTCAACATACACTTACATGCACTTACATGCGTGCAGACAATACACTTACACACATAAAATAAAAATAATAAATAAAATATTTTTAATTAATATATAAGTACCTGAAACTTGTGTTTTAATATTTTATATGGTGTGATGATTTAAATGAGAAATGTCCTCCATAGGCTCAAATGTTTTAATATTCAGTCCCCAATTGGTGGTGCTGTTTGGGAGGTAATGGAATCTTTATGATGGAGGAAGTATGTCACTGGGGTCAGGCTTTGAGAGTTCATAGCTTTGTCCCACTTCCAGTTGCTCTCTCTGTTTCATGTTTCCGGTTGAAGATTGAACTCTCAGTGTTCTGCTCCTGTTGCCATGCTTGCCGCTTACTGCCGTGTCTCCCTCCATAATGGACTTTTATCGCTTTGGAATAGTAAGCCAAAATAAACTCTTTTTTCCATAAGTTCCATAGAATACCATAACCAACCACAGTATCTTATCACAGCAACAGAACAGTAACTAATGCCTATGGTATACATCAATAAAAAATAATCCACAGAATCCAAACATTCTTTGGATTGGCATAAAAGTATCCTGAGAAAACAGTTGGAAAGCCTTTGCTTCTTATTTTCTGCTGGGGGTGTGGGGTCCAAAACAACTAAACTCTGGCACTGCAGCTCCTAGAGTCCTGTAAAGGCAGTACTGCTCAAATTCTTCTCTCTCAGAAACGCTTTCTGTTATTTTAATTAGTGTGAGGATTTACTCTTTGTTTTCTAACATTTTTGCCAGCTCTGGAAAAAGAAAAATGCAGCTCCTGATCTATCCTGCATCTCACAGCAGCATGGTGCTAATTTGTCTTTTCTAAGAACAAAACCCCCAAAAGATGGACTTTCCTCTCCACAACTCAGAGACAGAGCACATTAAAGGAGCCATCCTGTCTCCCAAACAAGTGTCTGTTCCAAACAGACCTCATATTTCAGTGAGTCAGAAGGAAGGAGGCAGGTGTTCATCTCTCTGAAACTTGGCTGCTTTCCTACCAGGAGTGTGGGGGAGTCCAGATGTGTGTCAGAGTGAGGGAAGAGGCCACCTCAGAGCTTAGCTGGAGTCTTAGTAAGCACTGAGCACACAGGTCAGAAGAAAGGCCTTCAACTGTCTGCTATGATTAGTAAGAGACAGACTGGAGAACAGGAAGTACCCTGGAGCTATGCATTTCAGATTCAGGTTGTGAGTTAGTTGTCTTAATCATGAACTGCAGCATCTGATAAGCATTGATTTCATACAGTCAAAATTCAAGATTTCAGCTGGCTAACCAGTTAACCCATTTGGTAAGCTCCAAGCCAGAGACCCTGTCTTGGCAAAAGAAAGTTGGATGGTTCCTGAGGAATGACACTCAAGGTTGTCCTCTGGCACACACACACACAAACATACAAGCACATGTACCTGCATACACAAACATGTACATACATATACACACAAAAATTCAGGATTTCAGCCCTACCTATGGTTAAATAATGCTTAGATAAGCATTTGATTTTTATCAAGTGGTTAAGTCCGTCCCACCTGGAAAGCTCTGTGCTCACTTCAGGAATCCAGGGCATCCTCTCCTGCTCACTGTAGTGCTTGCTCCAAAAGGATTTGGAATGGACTAATAACAGCAGCCAGACAAATAGTTCTTGGAATTATCTGAACACTTGACTGCTCCACAGAAGGACGGACTCCTAGATTCAGCAACGTGTGCAGAATCTGCGGCTGAACCTCAGCAGGAGAATTCGATATAGGGAAAATAAAAGATGGATATTGTATCCCTTGGGTTTGTAAATAAAAGCCTCTGGAGTGGAATGCTTTCTTTCCAGATCTGAAACTGGATGAAAAGAAGAAGATGGTTATAGAGAGTATAGAGAAAGACTTATGAGTTAATTTGGGGCTCCTGGCTCTTCTCACCTGCCTTGAAATAAATCGTGCAAACCCAGTAATTCAGTCTCTCTCTCTGTCTCTCTGTCTCTGTCTCTCTCTCCGACACACACAGTCCTTTGTGGTACAGAAATAGTACCCCTGGGATAATCATAACTTGAGAGCAACCCTTTCTAATGAGTTAGTTTCTAACCTGCTCATTCTGCACTTATTTCTGTCTCTTTCCCCACCCACTCGGGAAAGGCACAAAGGGTTCCAAGCAGCAGCCTACGAGTCGCGCTTCAGCGCTTAGGGTTCCTTCACTGCTAAGCCACAAAGGGTCACGACCAGCTCGGAGGGGTTATCCCGTGAGGGAACCTGCCAGGCTAGGATTTTCCCTGTGGACAAGAGACACGCTGCCAGGGGCGGGGTAGGAGTGGCCGGACTGGCGCTCTAGGGTGGCATGTGCTGGGGCAGTCCGGGACAGGGCAGGAAATGCGGCCAGGCAGACCTTCCCTTCCGCACATCCTGGAAGAGGGGCTGAATGGGCGTGCCGGGATCGTCCTCGCAGTGGTGCTGAACTGCGGAGGAGCAGCCAGGGCGGCCGGGCTGGGCTCTGCGGGGCGTGGCAGGGCAGATCCGGAGTTTGCCCTGGTGGGAGGGGCGGGGCGGGTCCTCGCGCTGAAGAGCTACGGGCAACTTTTCCTTGCTCTCATCCCTGCCGGAAAAGAAGTCCTCCCAACAGCTTCTGGGGAGTCTCTGACTTTCGGAAGCCCTTGGCCAAGGGCATTGTGCGCACTCCTAGAGCATCGCCGGTTCCCAGCGCAGACCCAGGATGGGACCCGGACAGGCAGCGGGCGCGCGGTTCCCACTGCTGCGGCTGGTGGTGCTCAGTCGGGGTAAGCCTGGAGTCCGCTCCACATCCGAGGCAGGAGGGACCGGCGGGCGTCCTGGGGACCCCAGGGAGGAAGGGATTTTGTGAGGCTAGGGTGCATGCGGCGGAGTCTGCTATGAATCCACATGGACCTGGCTCCACAACCACCTAGAGATGCTTGGAGAGAGACCCACGCGTGCACACACACACGGATAGGCACTTATGTGTGGCCCACAGACCGCGAGTGCCTCAGGATCAGGCAGGTGCTGTTCTTGCCCTGAATCCTCTGGAGCAGGGCAGCAGCAGACCTAGCTCCTCAGCAGGACGCCAGGTGGCTATGCAGGAAACCTCAAAATGCTTATTTTTTCTTCCCAAGGGCGTGCATAATGCCCCCTATTCTTATCTCAGGATGTAGCACTGGTGTTTCTTTTCATAGGAGACAGAAAAACCAAGGGACACTTAAATACTTAGCTGAGGGGAAGTCTCTCCTTCCCTCCTGCCTTCCTCTTGTAATGTCCTTTTTCAAAGAATGTAAACTTCAGCCAAGTCTTTCCACTTTCTTGATCTTGGCATCACAAGGGGCGCATTAGATGGGGCAGTACCTCCAGCTTCAGGGCCTAGCTTCCTTGGCATAAGTGGGGAAGGAGAGTTGGGGGTGCCCACCAGTGTGAGATTCGCAGGAGAACTTGCTTTCCACTTTTATCCACAGTCTAGTGTGTGTCTGTGTGTCCAAGATTAAGAGCTTTATTGTAGTTGAGGGAAGAATCCTAATTGTATCTGGATGTCTAAACAGCTATCAAGACAACAAAATGGTCACTAGTTTTCAAGTAGTTTTACAAAAAGGACAAGTATTTCCTAAGCTGTTTTTCACTGAGGCTGAACTTTAAGGGGGAGGAAAACTAGACTGGGTCAACCCTGTGGGTTTTCCCGTAGGTTAGAGAGAAGAGGGAAAACATCCGTGTCACTGTCCACATCCTCCACACATCCTCCAGCACATACAGGGAATCATTTGGTGTTAAGTAGCTAACATGTGCACCGCTGTATTTACTTACATGCTAGGGATACACCAGTTGATTTGAGACACCATCAATTCTAATCTAGGAGTTTCAGACAAAGTTTGAATGGACATGGAAAATGAGTCCCTGGAACTCACAAGCGTCCTAACAGCTAATAGAAATACCAGCCCAAACTTTTCATTTCTCTTTAATTAACGGTATTATTAAAAGAAGCTACGAAAACAACATCATTTTGAAATCTTTGAAATGTTGAGGCTTGTCCTGGGAGGAGCAGTCAGGAACACCCTGGTGAAATGTGTTGCCCCAAGGCATGAAGTCAGGTACCCAGGTTTTCATCAATGGTTAGTTAATAAGGACGACTCAATGCCAGCAGACAGCAGTGATTTACAATGACACCTATAAAAATATTTCAGGTATTTATTCTCTTCTCCTGGCCCACTTATGTGCATATTCAAATAAGATGTTTCTCTTGATTTTGGTCATCTAATTATGTGGAATCATATAATAAAGTTTTGTCATTTGGAAGAGCAATTGAGATTCTTAGGAGAGTAGCATGATTTTTTGTTGTCTTGGTTATTTAAGGTTGACATGCAGTTGAAATCTCTACTTTAGTAGTATTTAAATCTTTTTACCCTACCTAGACAAAATTTTTGAGCATGCATCATTATTAAACAGACATATGAATTTTATGGATTACATGCATCTACAATTCTGCGGCAAATACATACAAAGGTTAACAACGTAAAGATATGTATGAGTATGTGTTTATACATCTTTCATTTCTCTAGCACATTGTTTCAGAAACAAATCCCTCTGGGATCTCATTATAGTACTTAACTCAAATTTGCTTTCCATAAGCCTTCTCACAAGTGGTTAAGAGGAAGAGGTACTCGTAGTTTCATTCCATATTTGTCACTTTTCATTGTTCATGGCAAGCTGAGGATGAAAAAGAGATTGCAGAAGGCCTAGGTTCTCTGTGGAGTACACACCCACAGAGGAAAGGCAACTGTAACCTTAACAGCAATGAAGTCACATTCGAGTGCTCACAGGTCTAGGAGTCCTTCCTCCTGGATTCTGAATTGCATCACTTCATCTGCCCTGAGGGCCTCTGAGCAATCAGCCCTCTCAAACACAAGTCTTCAAAAGCTCTCCCCAGTAGAACTCCTGTCTGTAACTATTCCACAAATTTCTCTCATGGGAAGAAATCTTCTTTTCAATGTTTCATTGCCTCCTGCAATGCTCTCCAGCTCTGGCTTCTGTTCTCTCTGTTTTTCTCCTACTTGCCTATCCTCTTCACCTCATGTCCTTCAGGGGCTCACTCTTGGCCCATTTCTAGTTAGTGTTTACAGAGTTCCTTCCTGGATTCTCCTCTTTCTTCTACAGGCTCTGTCTGGGAGACAAGAACCCCAGCCTCACTCCCCACCTGAATTCCAACCACTAAATTTCTGTATCTATATGTCCTATAAACACACCAAACTTGGGACCAGGTGTGGTGGCACTCGCCTTTAATCTTAGAGCTCAGGAGGTAGAGGCAGGTGAATCTCTATAAGAGTGAGATCAAGGAGGCCAGCCTGGTCTATATAACAAGTTCCAGGCCTGCTGTGGCTACAGGGAGACCGTGTTTTAAGCAAACAAACATACCAGACTCAACATTTTCTAAATGGAATTCAGTGCCTGTCCTCTAAGATTTTCCATAGTCTGCTATGGCTTAAAGGCAATATTATCATGCCAACAGGGAAGCTGGGAATTGGTTCCAATGTTTCCAACCTCACACACTCCAGGTTCTGCCAGTCCTTCCCACCAACCCATGCAACTTCATTCATCACACAGTTCAAGTCTTTGTCTTCTTGTGTCTGGATGACTGTAGCTTTAAACCTGGCTTTCCTGTTTTGTTTCTTGTCGCTCCAGTTTATTGCCCTTGATCTCACCAATGCTTTCCTTCTAAAACAGGACTCTGTTCACTCCCTTATTTCAAACACCTGCTGTTTCCCACCACATTTGATGAAGGGTAAAGTTCAAATTTCTTGGCATTTGCAAAACATCCTTTACCATCTTCCCTTGCCTCCCTATCCAACCTTTTTGTTCGCACTACCCTCTTCTACATATAAGTGCACGTGCACATACTCAATCCACACACAATTGTATACACACTCCATATATGTTCAAACACACACATACACATACACCCATAAATATATTCTCTGTATATATGTGTGTACACAGACAGTTCTGTGTCTAAGCATACCTGACCATACCAGGTTTGATGTTAGACTGCTTTCCACACTACCGTCCCTTGATCTTCACTAAGTTGTTTTCCTTCTTTTTGTCTCATCTCTTTGCAACTGACCATTCTTGAATCCTGGAAGAAACAACCCCAAACATAATTATAAAGTAAGTCAGGTTTTTGGTTTTTTTGTTTTTTGGGTTTTTTTTTTTTGTATCAAAAAGGAAAGCATGATGTAATCTCTCATTTCTGTAAACCAATCCACTCTCCTCTCAACCTCTCAGGGGCCTCAGGCCACCCTTTGATAAAGCACCTTTTCTCCTCCAGGGCTTACCAACACCACCTGGCCTGCCTCAACTGGGCTATGTACTAGCTCATGAGCCGCTGTTTGACTGAAATTCATGAATAGGGGCTCAGGAATTCACATTTAAAAACAAGTCTTTACAAATTTCTGATGTGTAGTCAGGCGTATGAGTGAATATCTAAATATTATCACGATCTTCCTGATTTCCCAAATTAAAATTCCAGTGTTACCTTTACCATCTTGTGAAAGATGGTAAGAATTTGACAGGCCAATTTCAACACCAAGAGTCAACAACTCTGTTAGTTTAAATAGATTCCTTCCAAGTGGATGGTGAGGGCTCCCTTCCTTCACGGGCTAACAGTTCTGGGCAGATTAAAAGGGAGAAGCCTCCACAGATAAGCTTCTAATGGTGGAATTCTAGACATCCAGCAAAATAATGATACACAGCAATAAATGCACACACAAAAAATGAAGAATTTCAGGGAGAATGGGGAAATATTTAAAGCTGAAAATAGTCTAGCATTATGTAAATATCAAAGCCAATGCCCTAAGCATTAGTCTCTGCTACCAAACCTACTTAGCTTGTTCTAGGACTAAGGGATACGGCACAGCACTAAGGAAGAAGAACCGTGGATGCTTGTCCCTTTAACCAGCAAAGCCAAGGTATGCAGGGTGGTGCTGTCTGTTTCTTTCAGGTACAGCAAAGAATCCTGACATCACAAATCCTGAGACAGTTATAGGACTGGGACAATGATTCCCAGTCTTTTTCTGATGATCCCCAGGGGCTCTGCTAATCTGGTTACATACAGTGAATTCTATCAACTAGCATGTAACTTCATCTGCTCAAGGCACTGTGGCAGGCACTGTGTCAAATCAGAAAAAAAGCACGACCCACAATGTAGAGAGGCTGTGGTCTATCTGGAAACAAGTCCATATATGGAAAAAGGAAGTTGCCTCAACTCTGAAACTCAGCCCTAACTTATTTCAACTCATCATTCCCCTGATATTGGTCAAGTTAGTTCTACACAACTTGAAGATTCAGGGTGTGCGAAGGGTGCGTGGGGGTGATATACCAGGGGACTTCTGAGAAAAGAATTTTTGCTTTTCAGTCTGGTCTGAGGGAACATTTTGTGAGATTCAGATGTGAGGCTCAGAGCAGTGGTAACCATCTTGCAACCATGATGCCAGCCAGTTAGCTGAAGGATAAAACCAAATACACTGTGGGTAACATCACAGAAAGATGGAGGAGAGAAAAATCAGTGTCTGATGCTGTCTTTGAGTTTCCAAATTATCAAAAGGAAAAATTACTCCCCTCATGGTCATAAACTTTTGTGTAATTCAAAATCTAACTGTGTTGTATATAACTTAGAACTGTAACAAGTTTCTGGCATAATAAGCATTATATGCTTGCATACAGTTAATGAGTAATACAGAACTAAATGTTGGGTTTAGGGAATGGGGAAATACCATTATGACACTGA